TTAGGAAGGAATGAAAATGGAATATTTTAGTCAATCCTAATTATCTTCAACGCTAATTATCTAGTCCATTAATGCTATATAGGGTGTCTCGGAATTCTTTCTTCAACCGATAGCGTAATATCACGAGACACGGTAGTGTCTCGCGCCAAGTATAAGCGACATAATATTTACAGCAGTGGCGTGATCGAAAAGGCGAGTTAGTTGACTTCGAAGTTCGAAATAATTGAATTAATCCATATTCAATTACGTTATTTTCCAAAATCACAACTGCGGGTCGTACACAGCAGCAAAAATAATATTATTCTTTAAAACTTCTCCTAAAGAACGGCCGAAAAATTGCCCGAAAAATTAATTAACATTAAGACCACAAGATCGATCGTTCCTGGACGCGAGATTTCGTCCCGGTTCAGATAGTTTTTTCTGCCGGCGCGCGGCGTTCGCAAATTTCACGGCTTTCTTCGTCATCCTCACTCAACGGGACGACGGCCGTTTCTTTGCGCTCGTCGCCGGCGCGGCTTTTAGACAGCGACGCGGAGACTAAGCGCGATCTCTCGACGGGGAAATAATAGGCTCGTCGTTACAGGCCGCGAGTACACGGCTGGTTAACGGTACGCCGAAAGCCACAGGCGGGCCCGGCTGCTATTCTTTCGGGCCGTAATTAGCCCGTGTCTTCGACACGCTTTTCGGAACATTTTCGCGACCGGGATGGAAAGCGATCGGGATCTCCTCGCGCGCGGCGAGGAGAAACTCGGAAGCGGATCGCAGAATCTCAAATCTCTCTGTCCCGCGCGCGCGCGCGCGCGTTCTTCCGCCTGTGGATCTCCGATCGCGTCTTCCTCTCTCGTGCAGGCGTACCGTTGATCGAGACGATATCGCTCAATTATCTGTATGTAAATTCGCGATCGAGATGCGCATTTCTCTTCCGTCCGACAGCGGATATCGAGCTCGATAGAACTTAGCGGCTGCTTGTAAATCCAGCTCGTGCCGCCGTTGCAGCTCACGGGGGGGGGGGGGGGGAGAGATATTTCCCGAATTCGCTTCTCTGGGAGAAAGAGAACGCATGAGCGACTTCTCGCAAAATACCCAAAGCTTGTTGTAATAAAAGGAAAACTATTTTAGTAGACACGAACGAGTGAATTGTTTAGGAACGTATACGAAAATGTTTTGCGAAAGACATTCCAAGTGTACTTTGTTACATATCTCATGGTTTAGTATTCATTTCTTTTAGACATTTACTCCCGTTTTCTCGGCTAGGTCTTATGAAAATTGGACGTGAAAAGTTTTTCTCTCTCAGCAATCGTGTAAGAGATTTTTAATTCTGAAATTAATTATTTTATCGAGAGGTGTTTTTACTCGGACTGTGCACCCGCAGAAAAAATTTCCGGATCCAATGCTATCGCACTTCAATGTACCGTAAAATAGGATCGATATAGAGAAAGGAACATTTTTATCTTAAATAAAAATTTCTAAAATCTAGAATCAAACGATAGTGTGTATGTTTTTTTGTCGAATTCGTTCGTTGTAATATGGAGGGAAAATTTATTCTAAACGCAACAATATATAAACTTACATTTATATAAGTTACTCTTGTCTCAATATATTAAGTCAATCTTTTTTAATTCGATAGAGGAGAATAAGAATGATTGATTTTATTTTGATATCGTCCTATTTTTATACTAAATCAGGTCGTGAGAAATACAAGTGCGTCGAGAATATTTTTCGTCTCGGTAACAGAAATCCTTTCTGAGGATGTGCTTTCCTACAGTACACTGAAAAGTCTTTGAAAATTTATTTGTGGCATATAATGTTTGTTTCGCTAAAATAAACATTATTTGAGGCATATAATGTTTATTTCAGTGAAATAAACGTTACATGCCACAAATAAATTTTCAGAGACTGTCTTCTCACAATCAGTGTAACGACGTGACTTTGTTTCTTTTGTGTTGGTCATCTCGCAAAGAGATTTAAATACATAACAGATCGACATAACAGATCAAACATTTTTGCTTCGCGTGGAAATTATACTGTTATATTTAACGAGCCGATTAATTTTTTGGCGCTCTTATCAGTTTATTCGATACGAATGTCGGCGACCTTCACCTTGCGCCGATACTAACTTACTGTTTTCTCAAGCCAGAAAATTATTCGCGCTGCTCTTTCTCTTCAAACGTGTGGAAAGAATGGAAATGATACAACGAGAACATACATACATTTGTGAGACGAAGAATATTAATTCGCTTTTAAACCACGTACTTCATCGATAAAAGAAATAATAATCAAAAGCTTAATTCACAACGTGCTCTTTGCGATTAGAAACATTCTGTTTTGTATGCAAATCAATAAGCTCTTAAAAAACTTTGTCAACAATGTACAATTGTACAGTTTATCAATTTTTTAACTCATTTATTGACCACAAAATAGACTGTTTCTAGGCGCAAAGAGCATGTCGTAGATCAGACTTAAAGATCGAAGACTGTGATTTACTCCAGTTTTCCTCAACATTTTTTTTTTCAAACGCTATCGACGCTTTTCTCTCGCGTTATCGATTTAGAATGAACGGGAACTTACTTGAACCACTTGACTATCTTGCACACACCCATGTTGCGCGCGGCCGAACCAAACAAGCGCTGCCAAACTCGGACGGGTTGATCGACGTCGCCGACGAGCACCAATGCGAGGACTCGAAACACCCGCGGGAGCGATCGCGCGAGATCCGCTCGCTTCTCGCGACTGAGCTGCGAAACCGCGGTGGCAATGCATGCGGATGATAGTCGCCGATGGGCGTAGTTTTAGGCACGGCTCCGGCAATCGTTCCCACTCCAATCTTTCACCCTGTAGTTTTCGATCGATCGGCTGATTCCTCCACGTCGAAGCAGCGATAAACGGAAGGACGAGGTACCGAGGTATAGATTTAAGGTTGAAAAATCCATTCTATGAAAACGAACACGCCATTATAGAAAGCTCGATTGTGCAAGGGGACGCGTTGCGGCAGTTCTGTGCTTTCCGCGGATTTAAAAGGACTGAATTGTATTTGGATCTGTGCGAAATAGTTCGCCGTTAGTATCGCCGCAATGTAAATTGTTATTTAAATTCATTGAAATTTACGTAGCAATACTAACAGTGAACTATTTCGCACAGACAATGTCGCACAGATTAATGTCCATTTCTATTAATTCAGATCAATATTAAACTCGGTTTAACCTTCTTTTTACCTTTTTCTAGTTCTAAGGTCCGGTTTCACCAACGTTGGTTAACCTTAGCTTAATTTGTTCTTTGTCTCTTTCCAACTGTTACTTTAGAAAGAGACAAACATGAATTAAACTAAGATTAAAGTTAAACGACGCTTGGTGAAACTGTGTCTAAGGCTTGGTTTCACCAACGTCGCGTAACTTTAAGCTTAGCTTAATTCGCTCTTCGTTTCTTTCCTGCTGTTACTTTAGAAAGAGACAAACATGAATGAAACTAACATTAAAGTTAAGCTGAGCTTAATTTGTTCTTTGTCTTTTTTTAACTGTTACCTTAGAAAGAGACAAACATGAATTAAACTAAGATTAAAGTTAAACGACGCTTGGTGAAACTGTGTCTAAGGCTTGGTTTCACCAACGTCGCGTAACTTTAAGCTTAGCTTAATTCGCTCTTCGTTTCTTTCCTGCTGTTACTTTAGAAAGAGACACACATGAATTAAACTAAGATTAAAGTTAAGCGACGTTTGGTGAAACTGGACCTAAGAACTGGCGAAAGATGGAAAGTAAATTAACCCGAGATTAAAATGAAACTACATTGGCAAAATTGGACATAAAATAACCGTAGAAATGTTTTTTGTAAGCGGCAAATTAAAACTGCAAATGCGTAAAGTTTAAAAGCATTTTCCGTAACAACCAAGTATTTAGCAATACAACAAATTTTTCCGATATGATAAATAGCCAATATTACATGAAAGCATAGCGTTTCGACATTATTTGTCGCGGCATGTTTACCTGCGTTGGTGAAACTTCGAATGCCTAAACAATTATTAAGAACCGTATTAAATAATCAGCACTGTTCGGTAGTAAAGATTCATTAAGTTCTACAAACAGGCACGTTTTCAGCTGACGAGGAATCTCGTGCAATTGCGCGGTATTCCCGTGATAATTCGAGACCGCCGGCAGGCTGAATTCTTAGGCGGTAATTACACAATTCCGAAACTAGTCGGCTTTGTACGGAATCTCCGTGCGTAACGAAGCCTCCTAATAACGCGTTCCGAGTCTGCGCCTCGGCACGCCTTTTTTCGTCGGGTTGCCTCACGAGAGCACACCGGGTACCGGTACAATCGGTGCGATGACTGATAACGAACAATTGCTGCCCGGTCGGCGGCGCAGACACGTAGAATTGGACCGCCGCGTGTAGGACGAATTGTATCTTGTAACTTGAGAGCGGGCACAGCGAAGCGACTTAATTTTATCACGTCTGTATCAGATTCTCCATGAAGCGTTTGAATTCGTATTTTAGCTCGTTAGCTGCCGTCCTTGCCGAAGTATCGTCAAAGTAGTGTCCACAGCGTGACGTCGTTGCAAACCCTACGTGAACATAAAAAACTAAAGATTGCAACTTTCTAATTTACTTTTTATCGATTGCAAGTAAGCGTTTTTTTTTATTACGAACCTTGCGTGGAACATTTCGCTGAAACTTGTAGAATTTAATGAAGATTTTTACCCGAAATAATAAGAAATAATATGATCATTAACGACTGTTTTTTTACGAAATATTTAAATAGTTTCTAGTACCTGGGTTTTTACAGCAATAGCTTATTTATTATCATCACCTTTAATAAGTAATTTATAACGTACAACTTGAATAAATGCTAAAATGTTTTAACATATTTTAATATCTTGGCAACGATAGACATCCAGATAGGACGTGTTATAAATCGTAAACTTGATCTGAATTAAGAATACTAGAAGCTAAGTTGACAAATATCGCCGTTTCAATATCTGGGGGTGCAGCAGAAGTTACAAAATTTATTATTGAAAATTAAAATTTTCATGTATTATACATTTATTATATGTTTACATGTATTATACAAAGTATGTATTATGATAACTTGTGCATTTTCTATAACTGCTAACATAAGTAATTCTCGCTGAAAAGTTTGCAGAGAATTTTTGTATGAGACAGAATCGTAGAAAAGTACAATTAATTGTGAAATTGTGTGACAAAGCAAGAATAGATTAGTTAATATTAAAGAAACAGTTGAAAAGACGTAGAATAATCTCTACCTTGTAGTTTCTATTGTTTTTATTAATTAGCACGCAAACTGCTCTCGTTTTCCTATTAGTAATAATGACTTTTATATATGTATATTATAACCATTTCAACAACAGTATGGTTTTTATAAATTTGGCTGCGTATTGCGTAAAACATTTTAATATACTTTCGAATAAATAAATGTCAGCACGAGAAAGGCAGGAAATTATGAAATAACTCGATAACGATCAACGTTACTGAAAAGTATTGAGCGTTTATGAGACTTCTGTAAATTAGCGAACGCTCCTCGCGTATTTCATCATTTGTTCTTCATGGCGCTTTCATCTCTTGTTTCACGCAGAACTTGAATGCCTCCCATCCCTCGTTGCGTTGTTGAGACTGCAAAAGTTCGAGTTATTTCGCATTAGTCAACAGTGTTATCGCAATATTTCCATTGCATCTTATAAATTGCCCGACAATATCGTAGTATGCGTCGCTGCAGAGCCTGAGAAGTGGCAACCGTTCGTACAAGTCTCTTCACCGTGTTGCAGTGAGTACGCGGAGAGAATTTTCTCGCGTGCATTAGTTTGGGCATTATAAAGATAAAATAACATAAAATAAGATAATAAGATAAAGTAATGCTCACTGGAAATTAGTAGACATTGGTGTACAAGATTTTGGCCAGCGGCGAGGGAGAAACCACTGACCAAAATCTTGTACACCAACTACATCTACTAATGTCCAGTGGGCATTACTTTATCTTATTATCTTATTTTATATTATTTTATCTTTACAATGCCCCAGCAAGGCCTAATGCCCGAACTAATGCCCCAAAAATGCCTAGTAATGCCCAGTAATGCCGCAAATCTGTACACTACAATGCCCTCAGCGGTTTCCCCCCTCGAAATTTTCTCTTAAAATTATCCTGAAGATCGTATAATCGCAGGACAATGCGGCACATTTCGTAGAATTTTATGACAGTTTACTAGTGAAATGCACGGTAAAATTTCAGAAAATTCTTACAAAGTTGTTCAAAATGCCACGATTACACGATTTTCAGGGTAAATTTTAAAAAAGGACATTCTCTCCGCGACTTACATCGACGTTTCCACATTTTAATATTTTACACGGCGCATCTTGTAAGATAATTCTGGAACGCCACGTGTTTTCAAAGTATCCGTGGATATCCGCGATGCCTTACCTTAAAGCCTCTGTGCAATCGATCCTTCATGATCGCTATAAACTCCTTGTAGGAGAGCTGGCCATCCCCGTCGACGTCGAATAGCGCGAAGACTGTATCGATTATGTGAGTCGAAAGCATCGTTCCCGTGCATATCTTTACAGCGCGTTGAAATTCGTCTGAAAAGCAGAGACGACATTGAAAAGACGTAACGCATTTAAGTAGACAATTCGCATTTAAGTAAGAAATAAAATCGGTTCATTTCAGAACGCGTCAGTCCTGATTAATTTACCTTTGGATATAGGATGATCGGCCAACGTGTACATTCGCATCGCTATCGAGAAGTCGTCCAGGTTGTTCAGAAATTGATAGAAGCGCCGGAACTCTTCAAATGTGATACCAATATGCAACTCTGCTCGGTCCAGCATTCTGTCCAGGTACTTGTCGTACCTGCGAATTCGATTGTCAAGCTTACCGTGCACGATTTTCAAATTGATTTAGAAAATGTGATGGGCCGAAAAGTATCCAAAAGTGTAGGGAGCGGGGAGAATGTGTAGCTCAGTTCGAAATAAGGATATATTATAAAATATATCTTATTATCTTCAAAATATTCAAAATGCCAACGGTTCGTCGCTCAGTCGCGTTCTCGCAGCTGTTGAAGTGCCATTGTTGGGACACAGCTTTCGTAATTGTTCAACTTACTCGTCGGTCTCGAGGTACGTGTATCGCAACAATATTTTCGCAAAGTCCAGCTCGTTAATCGTGTCGTGTCCCTTGCTGAATTCGTGAAATTCCAGCTCCAACGCCTCGTGTTGCAGATTCTCCATGAAGCGCTTGAAATCGTCGTATTTTAACTCGTTGGTGCCGTCCTTGCCGAAGAAGTGTATCATCAAAGTAGTGTCCACAGCGTGACGTCGTTGCAAACCCTACGTGAACCCAAAGAGAACAAAGATTGCAATTTTCTAATTTACTGTCCTTTTATCGATCACGATATAAATTATCGTAAAAGTGAGCCGTGAGAAGTAAGCGATTTTTTTATTACTGAATTAAATTTCTTGCAGCAAAAATTGAATATCTTGGCATTTTCCGGCTAGATCAATAGATTCCGTTATCGGTTGTCGTCGTGTTGTGTAAATTCGTCATTTTTCAAGATGCATGAATAAAAGTAATAACGCGGCACCTGATCGTCATCGATGAATTGGCCTTGAATTTCTTCGGGCGTTCTCTGGCGTTCCTGTAATTGGTCCAATTCCTCTTTCGTCTCGCATCCATGGCGGCCTCTCCACGCGTGACTGAATATCTTCTCCATCTGCATCGAGGACAAAACCGAGCAAAAGGTGTGAGCGAGAACAATTGCTGTCGTGACAAATCGACGCGATGTTAACACACTTTTTACTAACGGATACATGTGCCGGGATTACATGATATAAAGGCAAAGTGACGGCAATGTTTTCGGCATCCAATGTTAGTACATCTGAAATAAGTGGCAAATAGTGTTAGAGCAACGATTAGCGATACGTTAGGGCGCAGGTGTTTTCGATGGGGCTGATAAGCTGCGCATCGAATATCGATGTTAGTAAAATTCAAGACAGATTAGCGATGGTGATTGCGTTATATATTTAGCTGCGCTGGATCTACACGTTACATCCACGGAGAAAGATTAGTAGCCCCCTAAAATAGCTGGAAGAGATTGTATGTGACAGCAATACAACAGAAAAATTGCAATTGGATTTTTAATAGATTACAAACAGGCTCAGTTCAATTCTAGTATTATGGGTCGTCATTAATTATATTGTTATTTTTCTTTACTGCAATTATATTTTTACGTTTGTGCAATCTTTCATATTGCGACTTTACGTTAAGTAACGTATGAAGATAAGAGAAGGAAAATGTTGGAAATTAAAGCGTGAAATATTAAACGGGAGGAAATTGTATAGTAC